AAATACAGTGAAAGCAGGGGTTATACTGTGGGGAAGGGACATACAAAACAACAAAGAAATAATCTTATAAATGTGTTAGAAACAATTGCATGAAAGCAAAAACACTTAAATACTTATCTTGGGGTTCATTTCACCTAACATCAACTTATCTGACCTTTTCTGCTGGTCTCAGACATATACTAGTTATTGCAAATAAGGGAAACCATGGGACCTAAGTTTCTTTGGCCCTAGCTTACTTCACTTAATATAATTTTTTCCAAGTCTTTCCATTTCCTAACAAATGGGGCAATGTCATTCTTTCTGGTGGAGGCATAGAATTCCATTGTGTATATATAGCACATTAACAATGCATTTTATACTTGAAAGTTGATGGCATAGTGTCACCATAAAAATGTATATAATGTATATGTCAATTCAACTAAGCTGTTCCACAATACATATAACTCAAAACATCCTCTTGTATATGATATGTTTATGATAAATGTATATATATTTTAATGTTTTTAAAATTTTATTGTCAATGTTATGTACAGAAGGGTTACAATTACATAAGTAGGGTAGTGAGTACATTTCTTGTCAAACTTGTTACCCCCTCTCTCATTTTTCTCCCACTTTCCCTCCCGTCGCAAATTGTACAGATAATTTCTAACATACTATCTTGTGCGTATTGCTTTTGCATTGGTCGCCCTTTGTCCTTCATCTCACCATTTTGTTGTTCCTCTTCCCTTACATAATTCAGATAAACATATATACAATACCCAGGGTACCAAAAATAGATGTACGTTTTTGTTTGCCAAACAGAGCTTACTTAGAAAACAGAAAAAACATCATTTTGGAGATGCACATAAAAGCTAAAGAAGGCTGTTCACTTCCTGGTAGATGTGAGGCAGGGAGAAGTGGAGGAGAACCCAGGACCTGCTCTCAGTGACCTATTTTCTCCATCAGGATCTCACCTTCTAAGTTTTCCATAAACTCTGGTCTCAACACATGAGCCTTTGAAGGAACACTTCAAAGTTCAACTGTGCTGCCTCAAATGGCCAGTCTCAAATGACCAGTAATCTTTTTTCTAGATTCAGGATTAAGAATACCTTTCATATTACGGTCTTCATCTTTTTGGTTCCTCCTCCCCTAGTGCCCAACATTAATTATACTTCCTTAGTATGTATAACATTCATATCCGTAAAATGACGGAACTGAATGTTCAGTGCTTTGCACCAGCATGTTCAGCAAGGAAAGGTCTTCCCACAAATCAGCACTGCAGCTGTGCTGCTTTATGGCTGCCCATCACTTCCAAGTTACCTAGTTCATTCTTTTCAAGTCTGAAAATCCCTTTCCTCCAAAAGGTCAGATTTGGGTTAATTACCCCAAGCATACAATCTTGAATAGAATCTTTTTTTTTTCCATTTCTCAAAACTGTTGAGTTATGACTAATTAACATTGCACTCTTGTAACACTCAATGCTTACATTATGGGAAAACTTACAAGAAAGAAAAGAGACTAGTAATAATAGCCAAGTATCACTGACATCCGACTCAGGCGAGACATGAAATAAGTATTGTGACTATTTCGTGTGTGTGTGTGTGTGTGTGTGTGTGTGTGTGTGTGTGTGACTATTTCTTGAATTAATCAATGAGTCAGTGGTTAACATTATCACTTACCAAGTGCTTGGACTAAGGACTTACTATGTGTTATCTCCGGGGGTCTTATAACAGCTTTATGTCTCTGATATTTGCTTTTTACAAACAAGGCAACTGAAGCTTAGGCAGCCTATAAGAGGTAGATAAACCAGGATTCACATTAAGTCTTTTCCATATTAATCACTACTCTTGATTTTATTTTAGTCACTATCTTCTTACTTTTGATAGTAACACTTCTATCTATACAATTTTTACTTCTATTGAGAATCTGTAAGGAAGATGTTTTATTTAAGGGACGAGTTGTAATTATATATATTAATTATATATTAATCTTTTCTGAGCAGGGAGGATATTCCTTTTCTTGGTTTTTGAATTAAGCCTGTGTTGTTCTGGATGATTGCCATACTAACCACATTTGGCTGTTTGTAATTTAACTTTACTGTTAAATTAAGCAAAACTAAATAAAAATTTTAATTCAGTTCTTTAGCTCTAATAGCCATATTTCAAGTGCTCAGTAGCCTCCTGGTCAGTTTCTACTGAACAACATGAGTAGAAAAACTTTTGGTCATTAGAGAAAGTTTTGTTGGCAAATGTTAAAATGACTCTAGGGGTTTCAGTTGCAAGTCTTGAAAGTAACATTAATTAAAGTCTGCCATGGAAGGAAGGCTATAATATTCCTCCCTGTTTTCCAACAGATTAAGAGGAGGATAAAGAGAATATTGGGAGCAAATAGTCGGCATAGCTGAAAACAAGGAAGCACAAATGTTTATAAAGCAGATGGTTATATGGTTAGAAATTATTAACTTTATTTTGCTCATCAGTATCCCATGAGTGTCAAATGCATAAGGGATAAATATGTTACTTGTAAAGCATAATTTTATTACTAAATATTTTGCTCACAAAATGAACACTTTTTCAAATGATAGAAAAGAGCCTTCAGAGACATTTTTATACCAATACCACAAAGGAATTTATTTTTATTTATTTTTTTTATTCTTTTTTTTAAATTTTATTTTATTTGTGAACATACTGTACAGAGGGGTTACAATTACATGGGCAGGATAATGCATACATTTCTTACCAAGCATTGCAGCCTCCTCCTTTGTTTACCCTTCACCTCCCTTCCCAGCCTCCCCCCTCCCCCCAATCCTTCCCCCCCTCCCCCCCACCGACATTGTAAAGCTCGTTTTTGACATGACAATTTGTACTTCTCATTGTTGCAACAGGTCCACCTGAATCCTTAAACGACTTGTTTTTCCCCATCTCCTCCACAAGTTATACTGACATCAAATATATTGAAAGTGGGGGTTATACTGTGGGGGAGGGACATACAAAGCAACAAAGAAATAATCTTATAAATGCGTTAGAAACACATGCATGAAAGAAAAAAAAAATTAAAATACCTATCTAAGGGTTCATTTTCCTAACATCACATTCTCTGACTTTTTCCGCTTGACTCATACATATACTAGTTATTGCAAATAAGGGAAACCATGGGACCTATGTTTCTTTGGGCCTGGCTTACTTCACTTAATATAATTTTTTCCAAGTTTTTCCATTTCCTAACAAATGGGGCAATGTCATTCTTTCTGATGGAGGCATAGAATTCCATTGTGTATGTATACCACATTTTCTTGATCCATTCATCTACTGAAGGGCATCTGGGTTGGTTCCATATCTTAGCTATGGTAAATAATGCTGCAATAAACATAGTTGTGCTGGTAGCTTTAGTGTGGTCTTGTTTGTAAACATTTGGGTAAATGCCCAAAAGTGGGATTGCTGGGTCATAGGGGAGTTCTACGTGAAGTCTTTTGAGGAATCTCCATACTGCTTTCCAAAGTGGTTGAACAAGTTTACACTCCCACCAACAATGAAGTAAGGTTCCCTTCTGTCCACATCCCCTCCAGCATCTGTTGTTGTTAGAGTTCTTGATTTTTGCCATTCTAACTGGAGTGAGGTGGTATCTCAATGTTGCTTTGATTTGCATTTCTTTTATGGCTAGGGACACAAAGGAATTTATAAATGAAAGATTTATTCATCTAATTATTGCAACATTTAAAAATCTAGTTCACTAATTTTCCTGGATCTATGTCATTATATGGTCATTGTCTAAATTGGAAAGCATAGATCTTAGTCTCATATTGCTCACCTGTACCTAAAGAGGTGGATGGGCACTCAGACCATACTTATTGTTTACTTTCAGAACTCAAACTACATTTCTGGTTAGGAATCTGCTTCCTGAGACTGGCCATTTTAATCCATTTGATGCATCAGGAAATACAAAGTTGGAGGGGAAGACTTAACAGGAAAAATATATATCCATCTGTAACAAATTATTAGATTTGTCAAAAGTTGCTTTAGAGCTGGGTAATAGTCACTCATAAATATAATATTGTTAATAATTAGTAATTATTAATAAAATATTAATATTATATAGAATATATAGGGATTATATATACTATATATATATTCTATATATTTAACCAAGAAAAAGTCAGAACTAGAAGTATAGCTCAAGCAGTAGAGCATCAATTATGAGCAAAAATGCTAAGTAAGAATGAAAGGTCCTGAGTTTCAAGCCTCAGGATTGGCACACACATGCAAATAAACACACGTGCCTGTGTGCACACATGCACACACATACACACAAGATGTCTTAGTTGTCCCAAAGGAAAAGCAAAATAAAGAACAATATTTAAGCTGAGAAACAGAAGAAGTCTTTATGTAGTACTTGTTTCCTGAAAGATGTCATAAGAAGTTACTTCCCATCTTAAAAGAAGTTGTTTTTCAATTAAGAAAATGCTTATCTAATGTCTGTATTGCCTCTGCCCCCAGACTGTCTCCTTAGGGGCAAGAATGTGTATCTTGTCAAATATTTTAGCCTCATTGCCTACCCAGAGCCAGAATATAGTGAGACATTCAAGCAGTATTTGCTGAATAAATTAATGAAATTGGTCCAGTAAAAATACCTCAGCAGATACCTATTACTAATGTACACCAGTTCACTCTTGTTGGTCCCCTAAGAAAGAGGTACTAATCAATGTACTAATCATGTATAACCATTGTGTTGTATTGTTGCTGCTATGAATAATGTCATGTATGTGTCATTTTTAACATTCTTTAAAAGAACTTTCTCTGATGAACTTATATCTAATTCTCTATTTTCCCTTTGCACCTAGAAATGTACTTGGCATGGAATAGGCCTTCAACAAAAATTATAATTAAAAGGCAAATATTTTTCAATACAAGGCGTATTATGGCTTAATTTTATTTGTAGATTATTTACTTTCTAGCTTAGTTTATGTCAATAATTTTTATTAATTGGAAAACTAGGCCTTATTTTTGCTTCTTTTTCTTTTTCAGGAAAAATCCCCAGCACAAGATTGAGTATAGACATAGTATACTTCCAGGTGAGTAAATTTACCTCTGGATTCTCATGAGTTTTAGGAACAAAAATGAAATGCACTCCTTAACTGACTTAGTTCACATTTTCATCCTTGAACCACTGATTAATTTGAACTAGCATTGAATCACCTTCTTCAGAACCAGAGCACCCTTACAAGATAGTAAAACTTTTGGGACAGACATGAAAAATTCATGTATTCTAGTCACATCAGTTCATCTTACCTTCTGTTTCTGTTGCTTCTAAACTCTAATAGTTTTCCTTTTAATAAATTCTGCCTTCTTTGTATCATTTCTATAATGTAGAGGAAAAACTCAGCAAACGATTAGCCTTGCCTACAAAGGAGAGAATAAGACACATACTATCCAGGCTGTGCTCTCTCGTACATTCATACATAAAACCAACTACTGATGAAAATTATTTCCCTCTCTCTTTCTTTCTTTCTTTCTTTCTCTCTCTCTTTCTTCTTTCTCTCTCTCTTTCTTTCTTTCTCCTTTCTCTTTCTTTCTTTTTTCTTTCTTCTTTCTCTCTCTCCTTCCTTCCTTCTTTCCTTCCTTCTTTCCTTCCTTCCTTCCTTCCATCCTTCCTTCCTTCCTTCCTTCCTTCCTTCCTTCCTTCCTTCCTTCCTTCCTTCCTTCCTTCCTTCTTTCTTTCTTTCTTTCTTTCTTTCTTTCTTTCTTTCTTTCTTTCTTTCTTTCTTTCTTTCTTTCTTTCTCACAGATCCTTGGAAATGTCATTGAATATTCTTTGTATGAAGCATATTATCTAGAATACTTAACATTTTCTTTTACTGGAAAATTGTTTTTTCTCTTAACAAAAAATGTATACTATTTTTTGGCAATGGTTTAATCTCATTTATGGTCATCATTGTTATCAGTATCCCTACCCATACTTTTGCTTTCCACTGTTGTAGTTATCCATTGCCATCAGCTTGGATCTGAAAATATCAACTACAAGAGTAAAAGATAATTGATGCATAAGTATTTTGTTTGTTTGTTTTTGTTTTTTGTTTTGTTTTGTTTTTGTATGTGCTAGTCCTGGGGCCTGGGTGCTGTCCCTGATTTTTGTTGTTCAGGGCTAGCATTCTACTACTAGCATTCTACTACTTGAGCAACACCTCCATTTCTGGCTCTTTGTTGGTTAATTAAAGATTAGAGTCTCATGGACTTTTCTGCCTGGAGTGGCTTCAAACCATGATCCTCATATCTCAGCTTCCTGAGTAGTTAGGATTACAGGTGAAAGCTACCAGTACGTGTCCCGATTCCCAAGTTTAAAATAATTTCTATTATAGCATCTTTTATTCATTATTCTATTTTATTATTGTTGTTGTTCTTAATATTTTATTGTATCTACTTACACATTATTGTTTATCATAAGTATGATATAGGAGAAAACAGGGTATATAGAGGCCAATCTTACCCATAGTTTAGGTGTGTACTAGGGACTTAAAACATATTCTTCATATATAATGGGAGACTACTCTGTACTTACAGAGGTTGTATGTTCCAATATAGTCGAAACATCTCTTCCCCTTTAAAACTTATAAATTGAGAATCTGGAGTATTTCAAATATTAAATACTATATTTTTTATTTTGTAACTCAAGAGATATTTAACACAGAATTCTAAAATACTTGTTTTTCTCATCTCTTACATCCTTACTTAAAATCCTAATATCATGTGTATGTATCACCCTTATTGTGGAAAAGTGAAATTGGTTACCAGAAAGGTTTTTGCAAGAAGAGTCAGTGCAACTTGCCAATGGTTTAGGGGCCTGGATGAGGTAAAGGAAATAGAGATGACTCTGGATTATAGCATAAATGATAAGGAGACTGGAGATGACATTTACACACAATAAAGAGTAGGCAAAGAACAGGTAGGTTTTTGATTTTTAAAATTAAATATAGTGAATTTGAGGTAAGGAATAATAAATACAAGACAAGATTTAATATAGTAATGACACTTAAATAGCAACATTAAACTCTTACTATTTAATGTCTGATTTGTAATATTTCTTAAATCCTTCAGTCTGGAAAGTTTTTCTGTTCCTGTGACAATTTATATAGTACATTTTTAAAAAAGGTTTGGTTACTGTCAGTTGTTAACTTTCTCATTCATCTAGTTGGTATAATATTTCACTAACATGTTTCTAGAGCTGTAGGGGTTTGGCATAAAATGTCAAAGCAAGAGCAATCAGTGCCAGGAAACTTTTATCTTATACTTTCTTTTTTCTTTTTTTTTTTTGGGTCCGGTCCTGGGGCCTGAACTCTGGCCTGGGTGCTGTCCCTCAGCTCTTCAGCTCAAGGCTAGCACTACCACTTGAGCCACAGCACTACTTCCGGCTTTTTTCTTTTTGCTTATGTGGTGCTGAGGAATCGAACCCAGGGCCTCATGCATGCAAGGCAAGCGCTCTACCACTGAGCCACCTTCCCAGCCCTTATCTTATACTTTCTTAGCTAAATAACCTGTTGACAGCATTTAAAGGAAATTATCATTAACAGCTTATCATCTGATTATTGAGTTGTTCTTTCCAACCTTTGTTATTATATGTTATGTATTATAACATCAATCATGGGTGAAATTTTAAAATGATTTACTGATGAGTTCTGTAATATTTCTAAAGTTTTGCAGTGGTATTCACACATATGTTTATATATGTCCCCTTTCCCCTAGAGATTAAACATGCAGATCCAGAAAGAAAGCTATTAAGGAACATTAGTGTAGGTAACTTGAAATTCTATCACCCACTAACTAACTTTGGAAATTGCTGGAAGAATATGAAATATTAGAAAGCCTAGTGCAGTGGTCTTTAAAGAGGAAACAATAAAGTAATAAAGTAGATCTGAAGTATAAAATTGCTTTTCCAAATATAGATACTTATTAATAACTTAGTGCATTAAAAAAGTTAGTGTTTGGTAGCAATGTGTAAAACACAAAGATATTCTTATGATATGTAGTAAATTTTCATATTTAGGGATATATTTCTGAAATGGAAAGTAGTTTTGATGTTTATGGGAAAGGGAAAGAAACACCCTGATAATTAAGCTGTTAGTCTGCTGTGATATACTGTCACCATTCATTCATTTTTAAAAATACGTATTTTTATTATCTTTAGTTGTACAAAGTGGTTACCATTTAACAATTAGTTTATAAGTACAATGCATCTTGTTTGATTTCATCCCTTTCATCATTCTTCCCCTTCCCTTCCAATCCAACTTCTCCCTTTTACCAGCGATACAGGCTTAGTTCTTGGGATATGAATTGAGAGTAAAATTTTAAACTGTAAAGGTATGTTTGATATAAAATTAAGAATTCTCATCTTTCTTTCTGTTTTCTTCAGAAATAGAAACATCACCCATTGCCATAGCCTAACAACACATGATTAATAGCATGTCTTAAACATGATACAGAGTTTATCATTATTTCCCCCCTCCCCCCTAAAGTTAGCTTTCATCATTATGGTAGTTAAGTGACATCCTTCAGTATTTAAAAGTGACAGCTTATTTCTTTATTCTACCCTCAAACAATAAAGCTTCCCATCCATCTATGCATCTCATATACCTTCACTGATTTCTATTTTGGTCTTAAAGTTACCATTTATGGCATTAGATGTTGAGATGATTTAATAACTTTACTCATAAATCTAAAAATGAAAATTATTAAGCTCATTGTCATGAGCGTAATTATGTTCCAGATAATTGGACTTCCATCCCTTAGTTCAGTCCTCTTTCTCTCAACCATGTTACTTTTGAGAGAGAATTTTTTTTTTGTTGGTCATGGGGCTTGAACTCTAGGCCTGAAGGCTGTCCCTCAGCTCTTCAGCTCAAGGCTAGCACTCTACCACTTGAGCCACTGAGCTACTTCCGGTTTTCTGAGTGGTTTATTGGAGATAAGAGTCTCACGAACTTTCCTGCCTGGGCTGGCTTTAAACAGCAATCCTCAGATCTCAGCCTCCTGAGTAGCTAGTATTACAGGCGTGGGCCACTGGTGCCCGGCTGAGAGAGAACTTTTCATTGGTAACAGGACTGGACAACTAAATAAGAATAGCAGTGATTGGCTGCATCATATGTAAAGGTCAAGGAAACATTTTATTGTCTCTTTAGGCTCTCCTTGTTTTGGAAGAAACAAGTTCACGCCTGATTTTTCAAATACGCTCAAAGGTTATATTTCAGCTAAACCAGGTATAATACAAGAAATGCTGTAGCTCTTAACTTTTATAAAAATTTTATAAATTTTGCTGTGTAATTCCTGTACAACTACTGGAAATCACAATTGAAAAATTAAAAGTACATAAAGCTATATTTTGTTATAAAACCAGCAATTACTGCTATTTCTACTGGTTTTGTTTTTTTATTGTTTTATTTTTGTGTGTCCATAACTTTTCACAGAAAGTAACATTCTCTGCACAATACTGTAGCTGTGGTTTGAGATTTTTCTAGAATATGTCAAGATTGAATTGCTTAGTTTTCAAACTGAAAAGCTTCTTCATATGAGAAACTTGCTGTGGAATTTTTATACAGCAAACATTGCTATGCCAATTTTCTGGAAACTTTGCCTAGATACCATGATACGATGTCAACTTGCTGTGTTGGAGAATTCCCTTTCAAGGGGCTTTTCTTCATTGCTTTCATTGTATACCATAGTTTTTTTGCATAAGAAAATTTTATGGTAAAGACTGACATTCTTTATTAAGTGCCAGTCATGTTTATTTCAAAGCCCTGCTTCCTGAAATTGTTACCTTGATTCATGTAATAAGTTAGATCACCAAGTTCACTGAATCAGTATATTTTTCTAAGTAATTTCTTTACTTTTATGGCCTATGTATACCAAAAGGCAGAAACAGACATTTCTCCAAAAATACCATATAGTTTTTTTTTTAAAGGAAATTTCCTCTAGGCCCTGGTGGCTCACTCCTGTAATCTTAGCTAGTCAGCAGTCTCAGTTTAAAGCCAGCCCTGGCAGAGAAGTTCAGCACATTCCATCTCCAAAAATAACTAGTAGAAAGATGAGCTGATGTGGCTTAAATGGTAGAGCTCAAGCTAAACAAACAAGCCAACTAACTGAGCACAAGACTCTGATTTCAAGCCCCAGTACTGACAAAAAAAAGAAAAAGAAAAGTGTGAGGTGGTTAGCCAAGTTTGGCTATGTGCACAGCTATAATCCTATCATTCAGGAGACTGTGGCTATATGATAGAGAGTTTCAAGACAACCTAAGCTGCATGGGTTTCAAAAACAGAGTCACTTGTTCTTGTGAAATAAAGCAGACAATTTGACTTCCAGCTACATTTGGGTTGCTACAAATAATTTTATTTAGATTTTGGACTCCTTTAAAGACAGTGAATAAAAAAAAGTAAATGTAAATATCAAATTTAAATGCTTATAGAGATAAACAAATGTGATATTTCTGATTAATAGGCATTACTACATCAACAAATAGGCCTGCTCAGTTAACTGCTAAAAATTTCCAACATTTTTGATGTTTATAATCCTTTCATATAACAAAATCTAAGTAAAAGTTTCTTCTGCAACTCATTTTATTGGCAGGCAGGCTAGTGATTAAAAGTAGGATAGATTAAGGATTTCTGTAGAACTGTAAGTGCTCAGTTGATGTTTTCTATACATATATTGGTTGAATATATGAGTTTATTTACTAACTTACATATTCAACAATTACATGTATGCATTCCCTTCTTCATGTAGGAGCTGAGGGAACAATAGAAATAAAACCTTGCCTTTGTAGAATTTTACAAAGGTAGATAATGTAAGTGTATACAAGTACATGATTTCATGAGGTGATAACAAGTAAGAAAAACAATCTGTGTAAGAGAATAGAGATTAGCTGCATCATATACGAAGGTCAAGAGTGTGGTGAAGGGAGGCACCAATTCTAACAGGACACTGAAAAAAGCACTTTGTGATATCTTCACATTAGAGTGAAGGCAGAGCAGAGAGAGCAAGCCAGGTCATCATTTGAAGAAGAATAGGACAGGTAATTAGAACAGCATGTTTCAAAGCCTGGAGATGATCATGCTTGGACTGTTCTAGGAACAGCAGAGTGGATACCATGAGAACAAAGAAAGTAAATAGAGAGGGACATGGAATGAGATGAGAAAAGCTAACGGTGGGCCAGGTATGCAGGACATAGAAGCCGAGAGGACAGGACTTTGGATGTTATTTAGAGTTTGCAACTGTTATTTAGAGAAAGTAACTGGAAGCTTTTCTGGTTGCTCCTCCATGGAGAATAGAATGGAAGTTCAGAAGCCCGTGAGAAGGGTATTGCATCCAGGGAGGAAAGGATAGTAACTGAACAGGGTAATTTATAGTAGATATGTGGTAAGGAGTGGTGAGGATTCTTGGAGGATAGAGCCAGCACGATATCTACACAGACTGGAGTTAGGTCTTCATGAGGGGTGTTCAAGATAACTCTCACCAGAAGGTTGAAAACTTAAAATATAGGATCCAAGATCTCAGAGTAAGAAGAATTGGAACAAGCTGAAGAGAGGTCAGCATGATAAGACTTCCCTGAGTTTTCCAGAAGGCTGTAATGTTTTTACTTTTTACATCTGGTGTTCATCAGGGTCTATTTTCTTTCACAGAGATTTCCAGATAAAATTGTTCTATTTGTTTCTTAAATGTTTTTGTTTATATCAGACATGGTGGCACATCCCTGGAATTTCAGCTGTACAGAAGGTAGAGTTAGGATGATATCAGTTTGAGGTCAGCCCTGGCCTGGCAAAGTTATCTGAAAAACAAATTAGAAATGAAAAGACTAGGAGTAGACTATCTTTTTAGCAAGACTAAGACCCCAAGTTTGATCTCCAGTACTGTAAAAAAATAATACTAATTTTTTTCCAGTCTTCGACTTGGAAGTAGCAAACACCCCTTCAATTCTCATTTCACCAGCCAAGTCAGTGAGGAGAGAGCAAAATCTATCAGGTAGGAAGAATGAGTGGGAGAAATTATACTCCACCACACTGGAAGGTAGAATGCAGTTTTGCCACAAACAACTGTTTTGACGCTCAGGGGCCATTTTTAGTTCCAAGAGCATCAAGGTAGGCAAAATTATAATAATATGTAATAAGTGGTCATTTTGTTGAAATGACCATTGTAGAAAGTTGTAATAATAAGTCATGCATGAGTTAAATTGGTTCTCTCCTATGCAGCACAGTAGTATACAGTGCGAATCTCTAATGCCATACTGAGTGATGATTGATACATGTGGGGTACCAAATTCTTATTTTAGATGAAGGTGATGATGCACAATCCAATGAGTACATGAATGACAGCTTTCTAGATGAGGAGGAGGAAGACTATGAGCCAACAGATGAAGACTCGGACTGGGAACCAGGGAAGGAAGATGAAGAGAAAGAAGATATGGAAGAGCTTTTAAAAGAAGCAAAAACATTTATGAAAAGAAAAAAGTAACTGTTTTGCTTTTTCATTAGGGGAAAAAGGCAGGAACTAAAGAGATGCTTTCCTTCTTTGATATATTACTGACTTCTTTGCAAGAAAAACATTGACATGTCTACCTTCTTTGAAGTGATAGAGTGTACTCTATTGCCTTACTTTTTTTCCTATTTCAGGCACCTGGAAATAGGAAGCGGAGAGGTTCAAGAGTAATATTGTTCACATAGTTTATATTGGTAATAAAAGCCATAGATTGCATAAAAGTTTGATCTTTTTCTTTTTTTCAAAAGATTCTGTCATTATGAAGTACTTTGCAAGTTTAGCTAGGTAAATTACATAATAGGTGGGAAGGCATACCTCTTTCAGTTTTGAGAGTTCTAACAGAGCCAGGCTTTAAAAAAATTACACCCGTCACATATCAGCTATTTTTTAATACCCTAGAGGTGAGCTTTAATCTTTGACACTTCAGGAACTTGTTAACAAATAGGTCCAGCTAGGATATAGAAATATTCACCTAGGGTTGGGAAGGTGGCTCAGTGGTAGAGCGCTTGCCTTGCATGCCTGAGGCCCTGGGTTCGATTCCTTAGCACCACATAAGCAAAAGGAAAAGAGCTGGAAGTGGCGCTGTGGCTCAAGTGGTAGAGCACTAGCCTTGAGCTGAAGAGCTGAGGGACAGCGCCCAGGCCCAGAGTTCAGGCCCCACAACCGGAAAAAAAAAAAAAAAAAGAAATATTCACCTTTCAGGAAATGTAATTTTGTGTTTCACAACAGTAATTTGCTATATATTTGAGCTTAAAAGTAGAAAAATGACAAATTTTAGTGTTTATTCAAACTAAAGTCCTGCCTCATTATTTCACCTCTCACTGTAGCTGTCTTAAAGAATGTAGAAATAATTTTAACTATAATTTTCTCAAATGACATTATTATATGTGCATGTATTCTGATGACAGTGGGCAGATTTTGTGTGTTTAACAATCTGGTGTCATATGGAGAAAAAAACCCTTATTCTCCAGTTTAATGAAGTAGGTCTCTCCATTTCTGTTCTTAAACCACTTCAGGCCCAGCAATACTCTTCATTCTAGATGGGTTAGAATTTAAAATATAATTTAGAATTCTGAATAACAGTTGAGTTGTGTATAAAGAGCAGCAGATATATATTGGAATTACTAAACCAAAATCACCCTTGATATTTCCTACACTGTGAGAAACCAAAAATTTATTTTAAAGGAGAAAACCAGATTTACTATGTTGCTTTTTTGAAATTGAATCATATTAAAAGTCACTTAAGATGAAGTAGGGGAAGATGAACATTTTTCTAGACTATTACCTACTACTTTGTTATTGAGAACTATTTTCCCTTGTGATGTCCCTTCTAAGTATATAACCAAAGAAGTGAAAACATTTACCTGTATACATGTGCACCAAAGCCTTATTCTTTTTTTTTTTTTTTTTTTTGGTCGTTTGTGGGGCCTGAATTCTGGGCCTGGGCGCTGTCCCTCAGCTCTTCAGCTCAAGGCTAGCACTCTACCACTTGAGCCACAACGCCACTTCCGGCTTTTTCTGCTTATGTGGTGCTAAGAAATCGAACCCAGGGCCTCATGCGTGCAAGGCAAGCACTCTACCACTGAGCCACCTTCCCAGGCTAGCTTTATTCTTTTTTTTTTGGGGGGGGGGGGGCGAGGGAAACAGTAATGGGGCTTGAACTCAGGGACTTTCACTCTCACTTGTCTTTTTCATTCAAGGCTGGTGCTCTTCCACTTGAGCCACAACCCCACCTCTGGCTCTTTGTTGGTTAATCTTAGATAAAAGTCTCATGGGCTTTTCTGCATGATCTAACTGAATCCTGATCCTCAGATCTCAGCCTTCTGAGTGGCTAAGATTGCAAGTGTGAGCCACAGCACCTGACTAAATAGTATTCTTTTTGGGGGGGAAGGGGCAGTCCTGGGCCTTGAACTCTGGGCCTAGGCACTGTCCCACTTGAGCTATAGCACCACTGCCAGCTTTTTCTGTGATTAATTGGAGATAAGAATTTCATGGACTTTCTTGCCTGGACTGGCTTCAAACCACAATCTTTAGATCTCAGCCTCATAAGTAGCTTGGATTACAAGCATGAGCTTGTAATCAGCACTCAGCTAAGCATTATTCTTAATAGCCGAAAATTAGAAGTTCCATAGTGCCAATCAGCTGATGGGTAGATAAACTATATATGTTCTACCTGTGGAATAGAATATTATCTGGATATACAAGGCATGGAATGCTGATGATTCATGCCAAAATATGAACGAACCCTGAAAGTATGCTAAGAGAAGCTACACACAAGCTGCATCCCGTATGACTCATTTATGTGAGATTTCTAAAATAGGTGCATCCATAGCGACAGAAAGTAGAAGTGTTGTTGCTGGGAGCATGGGCAGAGGGAATGGGGAAAACTGCTGATGAGTAGTAAGTGTTCAAATTTTCTAAAATTAGGGCTGAAAATTGCACAACTCCATAAACCTACTAAAAACCATTGAATGACATGCTTTCAACGGATAAATGTATGGTCTGTGAAATATTTATGTTAATAAAGCTGTCATTTGAAAAGATTTCAAAGTCTGATACCAGTCTTCGAAATTTAAAAAAAAATATCAAAAGATAGTCTTGCTGGTATTTTTATTTCATTTATTTTTATTTTTTGACTATCCTGGTCTTTGAACTCAGAGCCTCATGCTTTGTAGGAAAGCATTCTATTGCTGAGCCACACTTGCAGCCCTTTTTGTGTTTAATTAGCATTCATTAGCTCTACAAGGCAGGGTCTTACGACATTTCTGTGCATGTATACAATGCATTCCAGTTAATCTCACCTCTCTGTCACTCTCCCTTGCTACCTCTGCCTTCCTGATACAATTTTAATAGGTTTTATTGGTCTGTTTTCATATTCACTGACAATCTGCTTTGATCAGATCCATCCTCTTGTGCTGGATATTTTTTAGATAGGTTCTTGCTTCCTGCCCATGTGCACACCTATCAGGTTCACCTATTTTAGGCTTCCTATCATATCTAAGATGACAGGACTATAATATTCCTAGCTCTTAGTTAAGAGGACTCATGAACTTTTCTGCTGGGGCTGGCCTTGAAGTGTGATCTTCCCTGTCTCTACTTTACAACTAGGTAGGATACAGGAGTGAGCCCCTGATACTCAGCTTCAAAAAGTATTCTTGTTGGCATAGGTAAAAAGAGTTCATAATGCCTGCTTTTTAAGGGTAGTGTGATACAACTTTTCTAATCATCTTGAAAACACTTGAGTAAAACCAATGTAGAATTATGTATCTTAATGAATTGTAATGACAATTGGACTGGTCATTGGACTGTGTTTAAATCTGAGTTCCAAAATGGAGGGAAAACTGGTACCATTCGAACATCACTGGTCTCAACAGCAGTACTAACAAAAAAAATAGAGGTTTAAATTAATTGAAATCATAAGCAGCAGTTAGCTAATTCTGCATGTTATGGTATTCATATTAAAATTGTATCTCAGCTTCCTTTGTCATAATAAAAATTACCACAAACATATTTCTCACACACTTAATTCTAAAAGTATTTTTTTGTCAGTTGTATGGCTTGAACTAAGGGCCTGAGTACTGTCCCTGAGTTTCTCTGTTCAAGGTTAGTGCTCTACCACTTTGAGCCACAGCTATATTTCTGTTTTTTTTTTTTTTTTGATAGTTAATTGAAGATAAGAGTCTCATGGGCTTTCCTGGCTGGCTTCAAACCAGGATCCTCAGATCTCAGCTCCTCAGTTGCTAGGATTGCAGTTGCATGAGCAACTGGCACCCAGCTAAGCAAATGTTTTTTGTTGATCTTCTGAAAGGACAGTTTCTAGGACTTTCAGGAGTTAAAAATACAAGTATTTTTTTCAAAATAGTTGGACACTGGCAACATTTTCTGTAGGCTGATAATTGCCTTGTTAGTCATGAGTTTTTTTTTTTCCAAAACCATGAGATCGTAGTGGTTGTAAACATTGACTGTGATGAAGCTGAGACTGTAATTCTTCCTGAATGGTGATATGACGACTATCTTGTAACTAATCTATACAGAGTTCATTGTTACAGCACAAGTGACCTGTCACAGAGCTCTGTGACACTTTCATTCCCATTTGGTTCTCGTTGTAGACCAGGAGTCTGTAATGGGCTTTATGTTTGGTCTCTTCTTACAGATCTACAGAACTAACCTACAAAGATCACCTGTATAAAATGTTTAGGAAGAAAAGTGATCGGTCATAATGGTTCCTGACAATATCATGTGTCATCTTAAAGTGCAAAATGGACTTTACTCATAGTTAATGATAAGATGTACTCTGCTGTGTTCTAGGTCTTCTTTCTTAGGTGTTAGCAAGCCAAAGAATAAAGTCCGCTTTCAATGTGCTTATCATGCGTGCTGTTACTAGTTATGTATTCACCTCCTTCAAGAATTTTTCTACGTGTGCCACCCCACTCAACACATCAGCTTCCTCAAGTTCCAGCACTCCTGATCCCCCCTTCCCAGCTTTACTTTTTTTTTTTTTGGTCTTACCACATACTTTCTAATGTGTTGTGTAACTTATATGTTTATTTTTCTGTGGAAGTTTGTTTTCGTTGCTTTGTTGCTATGGTGGGAACATGGGAATGTTTTATAGACAGGCAGAAAGAATTAGTGGAGAGGGCAATATTAGGGAATGAATATTTGTGCCTCTGTCAACATTTTCAAATTTAAACTTTCTAAATGGTGATACTTGATTTTGCTGTGCATTACAATCTCCTATAAAATGCTTTTAAAGGATGAATGCCGGACTCCATTACAGATCCACTGGGTCAGAATCTTTCAGAGGGGACTTTAGTGTTTGTATTAAACAGAACCCAGCCCCCACCCCACACTGTTTTCTGTCATCAAGGATGAGATGCTGTTGGGAAAGAGCTTGCAGAGAACAAGCAGTCATTCCAGGACTCACCAAGGAGCTATCTTCTACACTGAGAATTGAAGACATTTGCAGACATCTCAAAAGAAAATTAGTTACCCCGAAGTTTAGGATTAGCCTGTGTGACTTTCATTTTTTATGATGTATAAAAGATGTAAAGCCATAAATAGAAGTAGCTAATACGCTGAAGCCATAAAATTAAAAGTTCAGGACTTCCAGCAGCATCATATATTATTCTTGAGATTTTAAAACCCCATTAGATATGAGCTTAGCAGCTTATACTGGAGCCAACTACAATGAGAGA